GTACAATACTGAAAGAGGATGTTGCCTTAAACCTCGGCCTATCGGGATTGCCCACAAAAATAAGCGTTGCCACCCTCAACGGCCAGAATGAGGTATCGACCACTCGGGTCAGTTTTGATATAGATACATCGCCACCGACCGAGACGCCGCAATCTATCAAGGCGTGGACTGTTCGTCAGCTCCCGTCGATTACTCAAACCTTACCATCGAGAGAGCTCGTTACGCTAACGTTTTTCTTGTTTACGTTTTGTCGGTGCATTTCCGTCGCCTAATTGCACAACCCTCCCAATCCTGAAATGCTACCAGAGTCGGTTACACTGATGCATTTTTACAGCGGGTTAAAATCTCCGACATGGTTGCGGTTGCTGGTGACACGAATGCTAAATCAGGCAGACAAAGTGCTCCTGAGGCCTGATTGGGTGGTCGTCTGGGTTTGGACACAAGACATACGGACATTGGGAATTGCCTCCTTCAGGGGTGTGCAGATCACGGATTATCCGTTTCCGGCACCAATTTCCGGAACAGCGAAAGGCCCGGTTAGCCTTTTTTCCTTACCAGCGAACCGGCCCACAATGAAAATATACGAAGTCTTCGCCAGCTATGGATAGCAATGGTCGATCAATGCTGACCGCTGCTTCTGGTACGCCTGCGTGGACTCCGAAGGTGCACCTGTACACTGCCGCTTTTTATTGCCCTTTTATTTTCTATGGAAGCCGCGCGTAACCCACAAAGCCAATGATAAGTCACTGGATCCAGAGATCAAACGAATCCGTCAGAACCAGCTTTGAAGGCCTGTCGGACGGTCCGATGCCAGATATAAACTGGCAGTTGGAAACCTATCCAAAATGCCGCACAAAGGCGAAACTTCTGCTTGTGGCACAACCTAGCTAATCTCTACTTAACATCAGATCTATGATAGGACGGTGTATTTCCCGGAGGACCAGCGAGAGATTCCCGGTGGCTGCAACCACAACTTCACCTCACGCATTTTCCAGCGCCAGGTAAAACTGAGTGTCCATGCACACCGCAAAGCTTGGTGGGCCCAAAAGACCAAAAATGGAAGAGGCAAAACGTGCGCAAGCTGTTTATTTCGATTATTTCGGGTGGCCCTTTTAAGCTTCTTGTCAGCAAAATCATCACAGACAAAATTGACTCCATGATATCCAGAAAAACAGAAGGTTTTGACCGCTGGGGCAAGTTATTCGGAGATAAATCAGTTGGCCATCCACTACATCCGATCCAGGGTCCTGGCCTTTAACAGAAAGGGTGATTTTGTTAATGGAGCCGCTTTCAGCAAAAGAGTTGTACAAGTGTATATGACGGTAGAATCACTTCTTAACTTGTAAGGAACATGTCACTAGATGCTGCTATCCCTAACGACCTTCCAGCTATGTGCGAGGATGGCGGTAGGTTTATCAGCAAGTAATTGCCTAGTCTATCCGGGATAATTATAATGTTCAAGGCAACTGGAGTGAGTAGATAACAGGACTGATCTCCAAAAAGTGGTTCTCACTTAATATGGTGCCCACGGTGGTGTCAGCTTGACCTCTGTTTTGACAAGGTTTCTGGCGTCACCGGCTTCTCGTCGTCCTATGGTGGCAGGCGAAACCGTAGCTTGTGAAAATTAAGCGATATTTCGACCGGGTAGAGACTGCGTCAACCACATCTTCACACATCGTCTGGTACTAGGACAAAGCCATAAGTCCAGGTGAATAGCAATCTTAATGTTCCTTGACTTCAAGGGGCGTTCCATTCTGTCGATCAGTCAGTGCTGTTAACTACACTTGAGCAACAAAGTACGCAATGATAATCTAACTCCATATATTTGCCTAACTCCGAGCGTACGAGAGTGTGGTGAGCACTCCAAAAGATTTCGTGTTGTTTTATGACAGCGCGATGATTAGGGCCTCCACAGGCTTTGACAACCAACGCATCAGAAGCGTTGCCTATTTTTGATGACGCAAACGGATTAATGGCGAGGTCAATAGGCAACGGGTATTTAACCATACGGCAGTACTTTAAATGTGGATAGCATCCAGAACCATCAACCGCAGTGGCTTGGTCGCGTGATAGGCATCCTAGAACACCGTCTACCATGAGAAGATTTTAATCCCTGTCTTTCCTGAATGATGCAAACCGCAAGGCGGACAACAGATGACTTGACAGATGGGCGCTGGAGAGATGACGAAGAGTTTCGGGGTTGTTGGTTTTGTATGCCTTCCAGGATGGGGTCCGTCCTCAACTCACCTAGACCTGGCTAAAGAACTGCCGGCTATTCAACGCCGGTAGCGTTCATGCTGTCAATTTAGCCGGTGGCTATTCGCACACTGAGATTGATTTCTCGAAATCTACGGCATGTTCAGACTTGCCACTTCATAGTGTAGAATGTCTATGTATAATGTATATGCTCCTGTATTATTGAAAATTCTTTACCATGGCAATTTGTTTAAGTGAACTAAATCCCCAGGTGAATAAACACCGCCGAATTTCAATACCTTGACGGACGATAAATACTCGCGAATTGTGGAAGTTGAAAATTCTTTCCATGGCAATTCGTTTAAGTTAACTAAATCCCCAGGTGAATAAACACCGCCGAATTTCAATACCTTGACGGACGATAAATTCTCGCGAATTGTGGAAGAGGTTGACTCACATACAATGAACGTAACTTTCAGGTATTTTTCCACCGGAACAGATTTCCTCAACATTCCAGAATCTAAATGGCCTTTGGAGATGCAACATGTGCGCAGGCGCATTCGTGCAAACAAATTTTGGCCGATGATTCTTTGTTGCCAGTGGTGCA